ACATCTTTTCACCAAATTATTATGTTTATGTCATAACATCACATCTTTTAATATTTTTAGTTGTATTATCATTTCATTCATGATACTTAGATAATTGTTAATACCAAAAAAAAAAAGATGATACTTGGGTAATTAGATCAAAATTATCATATTTTTTTTTTCTTTCTCTAGAAATTAAGGAATATAAATTAATGAAAAGAGTTATCAATAAGAAAATTTATTAAGAATAATAAGTATAATATTTAAAAATAATAATAAAAAATAAAACAAACATATTAACTTGTTAATTCGTAAATTGACCTTAACTCTACTCGTAACCTCTATCGATTAATAATATGAATTATCTATGAGTTACGAATTGAGATATGTACACCCTAACTTATTTTTTACGGATCAAGTTAAGATCAATCTGACGGATCGGGTGAATTTTTGCCAAATCTAATTAACTGAAAACGGTACAGCAAAACAAAATTAGAATATCAAGAAACTTTGATTCTTTTTGCATTCTGATTTTCTCTATTTGAGCAAGGCAGTCAACATAGCCACTGGGGTCAACCTGAGTCAATACCCGAACCACCACCCTTGCTTCGCTGCACTGAGTTACCCATCATCGGCAAGGACTCATCCACGCGCGGTTCGTTCTTGACTCAACACCCCAACTCACTAAGTCACACTGGAAACATTCTTTTCTCACGCAGACACACACAGACACATCTAAACATCAACCACTGAATACACCATAATAAATACATAAAAAAATAAATGACACAGTACAAAAGAAAAAACACTGAAGAAGATCATCATATGATATTGTCACGTGACTCCTCAGCTCTCACATTGAAGCGCGGCTTTAATCTTCTGAACGGTGCACGAAATCAGGTTGTTGACCGTTTCCACGGACTCCACCGTCAGTTTTGCCGTTGGTAGACTGTTTACCAAGATCTGAAACGCCACCGTCAGAAGAGACCCACCCACTCTCTGTGACCCACCACCCACACCACCATTCATGGGCCCATTAAGACTAGACCCACGCGAGCCTGGACCGTCAGGTACGATGGCGAACCCCGATGGGAGGAGTGCCACGTAAGCAGAATCACCACCGTTCATTACCACGTGCATGGCTGGAATGTCAACGGGTGCGTACACCACAAGCGACCCCGCCGCGTCTGTACATGTCTCCTGCAATATCAGCATGCTGCTCTGATTCGCGTTCATCGCCTGCAAGGTAAAAAAAATAAATAATAAATAAAGGAACAGTCTTTTTTTTTTTTAACCTAACAACTTTTATCCTTTCAAAAAGTTAAAAAACCCGGCGAAAGTTCTCAACTTTATTCAGAAAGGTCCCAAGCGTCCTATATTTTGACTTTTTTTTTAAAGGTTTGTCTTTTGGGATATTTCCAAAACCCAAATTCCAGTGTCCAGACTCGTCCTTTCGTTTTCACCGTGAATAAAAAACAAGTGTGGGAGAAATTGCGTACGCTGGCGCGGAGGAGGGAGACGCAGTTGCCGTGATCCTGGCCTTTGGCGATGTGGGCCATTTCCTGCATGGGTCCGCCGTTGGACAGGATGTCCCACTCGCTTCTCAGTCGTTCATCGCGGAGGAAATTGAACAGTCTCTGTGGGGACACAGGCAGCCAAACAGACGTTGCCGCGCTCAATACGATGCCCGGTGGCTCACCTGGATCGTCAATGCTCTTTCGGGTCATAACCCTAACGTCTTCGTCAACGTTGCCGGCGTTGAGCTTGTTCCACTTGTGCACCGTAGAGGCACACACTCCGGCACAGAAGTTATCTGTCATGCGTTGTGCTAGCTTCAACATGCTCCGTCGACCACTTGCAGTTATAGCTGATGCATTAACACAATAACAATACATGTTTTAGAGAAATTAACAACTACATACTCTAGATTTAATATGTTGATTAATAAATTAAATATATATACCCGTGTGATCTCTGGTTGTAACGGTGGAGGACATGAGGATGGCGAGGCACTCGCACTGGCGTTGAAGGGTTGCGACCCAGCGTTGTGCGCCAAACCCCATGCCGGAGCTTAGAAGCGGTCGGTAAAGCTGGTGAACTTGGCCTTCGTCGTACTCTGCGTGCTCAACCCACGTAACCTACAATATTAAATTTAAAAGCACAGCTTCATAAATCTATCGTTATCTCAAAATAAAATAAAATAAAACCTAGAAATTCAACAGCGAATAAAGAAAAAACTTTGTATAAAAGTACATTAACAAAAAACCATATTGTATTTCGGAGTCATTTACATTTTTTCCCTTAGTCAAATGTGTATATAAAACTCGCAAGACTTCCATAAAAAAAAGTGCAAGGCAAAATAATAATATTATTTTGAAGGGCGATATCGAGAAGTGTACTTGTGTCGTCTCAAGGCTATTTCATATAAACCATAGGAAAAAAACAAAAGATTGTGTTCTGGAAATTTGACCAAAAAAGATCTTGATCGAGTGGAGAAAACAAACACACAAAATCAGGCCGGAACAGGTTACCCACAATGAACATGTCTTAAAAATTTACTATCTAATTCAGGATGGATATAATCGAGATGGCATCAAAGACCGGAATAGAAACATCAAATGCATAGTTTATCCAAACCCATGTACGAAGATTTCAATGCATTTTGCCCACCCAAGGATATGAAATTAATGTGTTCAAGTTAGGAGTACACACAAAAAACAAAGAGGAAAGGATCGGCAATAGAGACTTCCATTGCTTTAATAATACCAAGATTGATATTTTATTGTTACTAAGCAGACCTAGTTGTTGAAACTTGAGATTTAAACTATGATTTAATAGAAATAGAAGCATCGGGGTTGATTAAATATGGGATTAAGAAGTTCAAAGATTCGCGGAAGACTTAGAAATAATTAATCTAATGATTTTGGGGGCACACAAGGCGCTGACAGTAGTTTGCGGATATATATTCAAGAGTGCGTGAGCAATCACTAGACAAAACAAAATTCATAGGTTCATGAGCTCTAGACTGGCTTGGGAATGGGAACTCCCATGATTTCTTGGTCTGGTGTTTCCCCAAGCTCCATTAAAGGGCTAAAAAGGAAGAAACAGTTATACTCATACACTCTGTACTTTGGAGGTTAATTTGTTAAATTTTTACCTTTGAGTACCCATTAGGCATGTCCTGTACCACACAGCCAGAAGGAAGCCTCCGGTAATTCACAAATGAGGGTGCACCAGAAGTTTCTCGAATGCTGTCTATGGACAAATCAACCACCGCCCAAACACCCTCCGCAAGCTGCTTGCAGAACCGGAGGAAATTTACCTCCCTCACCGGCACCAATGGAGACAACACTTGCAGCTCCGCGTGCATCTACATATATACGTAATATAAAATAATAAACTATTTATTCATCAACTCCATAAAACAAAGACTCAGAATATATAAGAAATATTTACCAGTTGAAGTACACCATTTCTGGTGCCTCCCATGCCACTGGATATCACGTCAGTAGTAGAAGTTCTGGCAATCATACAAGGAAACATCTCCGCCCATCGATTCTATTTTCGAAAAACACAAAAGTTCGTATCTTTAGACATGATTTCAGAAACCCATGATTAAAGCTGAAATCTTTAACTTTATTGTTGACGACTCACCGAATCCATTAAAGTTTCTACCAGAGCCAAACTGTTGATGATGACCATACCAGTCTCCCTTGAAGCTTCGGTAACGAAGCCACTCGGTTTCAGGCCAATGCAAGGGGTGAATATCCTCAGGTACTCCTCGTGGTTCAATACATCTCGGCCACCCTCCAAGCTCCGGATCCAGAGGGGTTCATCTGTTTGTGCCATTTTCACCAATTCATCCATTGCAGCCAAAGCAAGCTCCAAAAACATTGATCTATCCAGGCCGGTTATCCCCGTTGCCGGTCTGTTAGGAGGTACCGGAACGGGTAGAGGGCTTGGTAATCCTGCTCCGAAATCAGGTACTAAAGGTAATGTTGTGGCGACGGTACTCAAACCGGCGTACCCATTGCTACCGACGCCAAGTTCGAGACTTGAGTTCGGCATTTGAGGTGCAATTGGAGGGGCCAGGGACGAAATGGGGCGGCCAAGGAACTTTCCGGCTAGTGCACAGACGCGTTCTAACTCGTCTTTCAACCGGGCGTTTTCGATCCTGAGGTGTTGTTCTTCCATGGATATGTCGCCAATGATTGCCGGACCGCCACAGTTGGTGCAAATCGGGTTCCTCATTGCGTCCCTAATCGACATGTTCTCGGCTCGCAGCTTGTCGTTCTCTTGTCTCAACAACGAGTTCTCGTGTCGTTCCAATTGGGTCTGAAACAAACAAGGATCAAACTTCAAAACCAAAGTACAAACCAAGAACCGAGAGTTAGGTCTTTAGTTTGAGAAATTATGTATACCTTCATCTGGGTTCGCCGGTTTTGAAACCAGAACTTGACCTGTCTGGTTTCCAAACACAGCCTTTTGCTGAGCTCCAACCTCTGTTTCTCATCGGGATGAGGGCACTCCTTGAACAGGCTGAACAGAAACAAAGCAAAATTTAGGACAAAATCCAAGAGACTGAAAATTTTTGAATTTGAGACACGATATCATACGCTTCAAGTTCTTGGATTTGGGCAGGAGTGTGTCGGTGGTATCTCTTCTTCCTGGGAGGATTGTCGGCGGCGTCTTGATCGTCACCGGAAGCACCGTCCATGTTATCACTTCCAGATCTGCTTTCGTGCTCCTCTTCCCTGATTCTTCTACCGAGACTAGCCTCAAAATTCTCGCCTATTTTAGTCCCATCTCCCTGAATATCTATGTTTGGTTGCTGCC